AATATGAAAAGGTAAACCATATACATAGGTACGCACTTAATTTTCATGGAAGGTGAAGAATTACCATACACATATTTACCAAGGCATAGTTATTCTCAACCATTGGTCAATTAAAACCAACGAGGATGCCCCCAATTTGTATCATATGCCATACAAAAGTTTCCCCCATAAACAAATTCCCTCCCCCCAACCCCCTGTATTATCACGAGAATTTTTAAAATTTAACTTTAAGGTAAAATAAAGATTTAGTGCATTCTAAAAAAAAATAAAAAAAATTGTTTCCCGGCTATACTAAGGTGTACAAGTGCGCAATTTTACAACATATGTTCAAGGCAATTGTAACGAAATTTTTTATAAATATTGTACTATCTCACTTCCTCTTCAAGCAAGCCCAAAAAAAAAATTGAGAGCACAAGGGCCAATGAAAAAAGAAAAGTACAAGTTGAGGATATTTGATTAATTCATCATCATCCACACCTTATTCTAATTATTTGGGTTTGGCTATTTTATTTGTTTAATTAAAAAAAAGTACGATAATATTATATCATCGTTCTCTATGTAGGGCACCTATTTCTAAAGGGTTTGGTACTACATCATACACACCTAATTATAAGGTTTGTGTTTAGTATATCCTAGCATTAAGTAAAAACCAATACGTTCTTATTTCCTTCCTTGCTCTGTGCACGTGTCTGTTATAAATATACAATGGTTCGGTTTGTATAAGGCCGAGGATCTAAACGATCAAAGTAAAGTGCACCTTCAAATAGTATCGAGAAATATAGTTTCAATACATGAAATCTTTGTGATAACCTTAAAATATAGTTTCATATCTAATTATAAAATTTAAAGCTTAAAAAATAATGCTGATCGAGCAGATCTATGAAAACTTGAAAATCTTGACAATTGACGGTCCAATTATTTCTAAAACTTAAAATCTTTTTTTTTTTTCTCATGTCTATACATCTTGAAGCCAAGATGATCAATTTGAGGATATTTGGGCATCAAAACAACCTCTTCTAGTAAAATTCTTGAGGTGTACCCTAATTTGTTTAAAACATCGTATTTATATAAACTTTTTCCAAAATATAAACCACTACAATAAGTAATATTTTTTAGGGATTGTATACCTTTGTTACAAGGAGGGAATATGTACTTATAACCATCGGATGTGAAATTTGATAGCTTGGGTGTGTCACAAACTTCAAAAAAACTTCTTTTGAAATTTGAGTTTGGTCAATAGAACAAATGCACTCATTCAATTTTACATCCTATGGTCGATATTACTTGTGACCACCGGCCTCATCGTTCACTTTTCAATATCTATTCTTATTTCCTTCATTGCTCTGCACATGCCTGCTATAAGTATACAATCGTTAAACATTGAATTAAGACAAGCTTTTATTAGAATCTCACATTTGACATCAATATTGTAAGCAATAGAGGGCATAATAATTTTCACCTTGGCCCTTATATAAAATTGTGAAACCACTTTGAACTAGAAGCTAATCATGACGTGCAACCCATAAGTTTGTGGATTAAATTGTCTTTTCAAAAGTCCATAAAATGCTTTTTGTGTAATTTAAAAATTGCCGATTCAAATTGAAATCGAGATTGAGATGCTAATGCCTATCCAAATTCATTATTATGATGATCAAGATAACAGCTTATAAAATTTAGGATTCCCAATCTAGTATCAACATGATTTTTTATTTGGGACAAATTTAAATAGATGCCCTAGAGGTAGCCTTCTTTTATTCTTCACAATCATTAAAGTTTGATTTCTTAGCCACCCTCCAAAGAAAAAACAATAGAGTAACACAGTGCGGGACCAAAGGCCACTATTGGTAATAATTGAGGCCAATGCTATTTTCCAAAGAAATAAAGAAATACTAAAAAAATGCTACATTATTAGGAAAGAAATTAGAAGAGAAAGATATTGTTATTATTATTCTAACACAATTAGAACAATAAATTACAGATATACAGTGTATAAGATGCCAACCTTGTGGCTGCTATGAGGTCAGTGGCTTGAATGTGATCACCTCAGTCTTTCTTTAAAGGAAGGAGGCAAACTTGAAAGGATGAAGTAAGGCACACTTACAAATTTTGTTAGAAGAATTAGTTTTGGTGTTTGAATTCTTAGGGTAGCTTGAAAATCCATGCTCAATTCTATTTATGAAATTTAAAAATTTAAAATGGTGCAAATCGAACAAACCTATAAACACTACAAATTCTTGAAAATTAGGAGAGAAAGGTATTGTTATTATTATTCTAACACAATTAGAACAATAAATTACAGATATACAGTGTATAAGATGCCAACCTTCTAGCTGCTATATGGTCAGTGGCTTGAATGTGGTCACCTCAGTCTTTCTTTAAAGGAAGGAGGCAAACTTGAAAGGATGAAGTAAGGCACACTTACAAATTTTGTTAGAAGATTTAGTTTTGGTGTCTGAATTCTTAGGGTAGCTTGAAAATCCATGCTCAATTCTATTTATGAAATTTAAAAATTTAAAATGGTGCAAATCAACAAACCTATAAACACTACAAAATCTTGAAAATTAGAAGTGAAAGGTATTATTCTTATTATTCTAACACAATTAGAACCATAAGTTACAGATATACAGTACATAAGATGCCAACCTTGTGGCTGCTATGAGGTCAGTGGCTTGAATGAGGTCACCTCAGTCTTTCTTTAAAGGAAGGAGACAAACTTGAAAGGATGAAGCAAGGCACACTCACAAATTTTGTTAGAAGATTTAGTTTCAATGTCTGAATTCTTAGGGTACCTTGAAAATCCATGCTCAATTCTATTTATGAAATTTAAAAATTTAAAATCGTGCATATCGAATAAACCTATAAACACTACAAAATCTTAAAAATTAGAAGAGAACGGTATTATTCTTGTTATTCTAACACAATTAGAACAATAAGTTAAAGATATACAGTGTATAAGATGCCAACCTTGTACTGCTATGAGGTCAGGGGCTTGAATGAGGTCACCTCAGTCTTTCTTTAAAGGAAGGAGACAAACTTGAAAGGATGAAGTAAGGCACACTTACAAATTTTGTTAGAAGATTTAGTTTCGGTGTCTGAATTCTTAGGGTACCGTGAAAATCCATGCTCAAAATCCTATTTATGAAATTTAAAATTTTAAAATAGTGCCGAACGAACAAACCTATAATCACTACAAAATCTTGAAAATAGACGGAGATGCATTATTTTTAAAACTTGAAATTCTTTTGTAGCATTATATAAACTTTTTCGAACTTGAATTAACAACCTTAATTAAATATCAGGTGTCTCCTCAAATGGACTAGGAGCCAGGGGGCAAATAATCAATCAAGATTAGAAAGTGCAAATTGGATCAAGTGATCGGTCTTGGCCTGAGCCAATTACTCGGACCGAGTCCGAGTAACTTGGCCGATTAGTGCTGAGTACTGTAGTAGCAAAAAAAAGCATACAAAATTATTACAATATAAAAAAATCCAAAAAAATATATAGAAAATGTATGTTTAAAGTAAGATTAAGTGAAACACTTCCAAATGTTGTTAAAAAAGTAGTAACAAAAATAGATATTAAAAAATCAACTTGTGACTGTAGGTATTTTTGAAATATCTAAAAAAAGATAAAATATAAAAATAAGTATTTATGGCCAAGATATTTCTCAATCTTTGCCAAAATGATAAAAAAACATAAAAAAAATATCCCAAATAATTCCCTTATTTTTTTAGAATTTTTGTATCCTTATTATTATTATTATTATTTTTTAATATCCCCAAGTTAGACATTTAACTCAGATAACTTGGGCTACAAAGGCCCGAGCCTAAAGAACTCATGCGACTTGAAAATACTAGGCCGATTTTACGAACACTGCTATTGACGCATGCAATGGCACATAAGAAAGAGAGTAAAGATAAGGAAAGGGAGTCATAGTAGAACAACACCAAGCATATAGACACGGGGGAGGTTTCTATAAGGTTGCAACCTTAAACAATCCGATTATGGTGCACCTTAAAATTTTATTATAACATGGAATATTGTTGTAAAAAATTGTTGTAAATTTTTTTTAGTATTATCTTAAAATCTATTTTCATACCTAATTAGAAAATTTTAAACTTCAAAAATGGTAAAACTCAAGTAGATCTATAAATATATGAAAATCTTGAAAATGGATGGTCTAGATAATGTGTTGCAAGATGCACTATTTTCGAGATTAATGTGTTTATAGATCTCGATGTCGAAATGATTGATTAGAGGGCCTTTTCAATATTAAAACAACATTTACGGTAGACTTTTTAAGTGCATATATGATTCTACATTTGAAGGTTGCAATCTTATATAAACTTCATCCTATATCAGATAAAGGAAAAAGTTTATATAAGGATGCAACCTTATAATGTAAAACTACGGATAGACCTAAAAGATCCATCAGAAAATGTAGTTTTAATGGTGAAATTCCCTTTGATTGATCATCTCAACATCGAGATGTACGATCATAAAAAATAAAAAGATTTTAAATCTAAAAAATGATGTATTTTACAAATTATTATCTACACCATCCATTTTCAAGATTTTCATATGTTTATAGATCTATTTGATTTTAACCATTTTTAAAATTTAAAATTTTATAATTAGGTATAAAAATAGATTTTGAGATAATCTTAAGAATAGTTTACATCAAAATTATATACCATAATGAAATTTGAAGGTGCACCTTTACCTCTACACCTATATATGCTGCATCCGTATGCGAACTGCACCCATAGATAAGTAATGGGAACTTGTGACAAAAAGAGGGTAAGTAACAAGGAGGATAAGAGAGAAGGGAAGGAGCAGCATAAAACAAGAAAAAACTAAAATTACTGAAACACCCTTTCTCCGAAACTTCACGGAAACCCACATATCGCGGACACATATCGCGGACACAAACGACCGATTAAGTCATGGTCTCCTTTTACTTTTCCGATCTGTGCAGATTCAAATGTGTCTATATATACAGAGCCGTCGGTGCAAGAAACTGCAAACCAAAGCTCTCTCTCAATCCCTCTCTCTCTCTCTTCACAGACTCCCCTCTCTTTCTCTCTCTTCAAGTTTGAAGACTTAGCTGGAGAACATCGGTTACTAGGCTGAAAAGGAAAACCGTCCAAATTCCAGGTACCCCTCTCTCTCTTTCTCTCTCTCATTCTCTAGATTTCAAGTCCGAGGTGCATTTTCTTCTTTTATCGATATCTTTGAAGAAGTTGAGTCCTGGTTCTTTCTCATTTTTGTTCGTTTATTTGAGATTTTGGATTTCCCCAAAATTTCAACTGATAGAAAGAAGTTTCAGTTGATTCGGATTTCAAATCCATTCCATTTAAAAATAATGAAAGATCAGTTAAAAGGAATATGAGTTATAGGAATCATTAGTAGTCCATTAAAGTCTAGAAAAATATATTAAAGATGGATTATTACACAATTTGATTGTACTTTGAAATATTCAAAAAAATATAGAACAAAAAATTAGAGCGCGTAGTAAAAATGTATTTCTAAATTATTTAGTTAAGGTTTTTTAGCAAAAATAAGGACTTTTAAATCATTTTTCACATGAATGATTGCCCCTAGAATTCGCTGCGGCATTGGCCGATTTACTCAGAGGAGTCTAAATGGACTCAGCTGAGTTACTTCGAGAGAGTCCGAATGGACTCGGCCCAATTTCTTTTTGCTTTCAATGGCACATTTCCCCTTGGTAGGAGTGGCAATTGGGTTGGGCGGACCTGGCAGTCGACCCAAACTGGGTCTAGGTCGAGTCCAAAACTCCTTGACCCCCGACCCGCTGTCACCTCTAAGTCTTGGACTGCTGGGTTGAGTCCAAATCTCTTAGACCCGACCCGTTGCCACCACTATGACGGAGTCCGATTGGACTCGGCCCAAGTTCTTTTTGCTTTCATTGGCACAATTCCCCTTGGTAGGAGTGGCAATTGCGTTGGGCGGACCTGGCAGTCGACCCAAACTGGGTCTAGGTAGAGTCCAAATCTCCTTGACCCGACCTTATCCCAACCCGACCCGCTGTCACCACCAAGTCTTGGACCGCTGGGTTGAGTCCAAATCTCTGTGACCCGACCCGTTGCCACCACTATGACGGCTTGTTGGCAGCGAAATTTTTCACGAATCATGGAATACAGGATAAGAAAATCCAAAATATTTATTCAAATTTCTGAATTTTCTTCCTAATTTTTTACTCACTTTCATGGAGCGTGTCGTAAAGGACAAATTTGGGTAGTTCGGGGAAATGAGCCGAAATATTAGCCATGTGCGGTTAATTTCAACCTTTCCTTGACGATGGGAAGACCAAATAATTTGGGTCTTCTTCGATGGCTTTTTCCTTTTCACGGAAATTCTTTTCCGGGACATTTATGAAGGAAAAAAGTTTGTATACGGATGCGGTAATCATTTATTTGTCGATGTAGACTTGACACTACATAAAAAGATCCAAAAGATTTTAGCATTTTACGGGAGTATACTACCCATTTACTCCCTAGGACAAAATTTACTCTTATCCTTTCTAACTCAAAATTTGAGGATCTTATCTCTAAAATCGGAGCGAGCTCAAACAAAAAAAAAAAACCATTCTCACTCTCTATTTGCCTAAAAAAATTCATCCCAAGATTGCACTAGAAATGTCCAAATTTTTGAGGAAATGATGTAGATGTTTATGAACTTAAAATCTAATATCTCCCGAGTTAGGGTTTTGCTTGAGGGAGTAAATGTATTCTACTTTATTGAGAGAGCATAGTGTTAGATCTAGGGCAACCTTATTTCTACAACTAAAGTTGTCAACTTATGTAAACCACCATATATAAAGGACACCACAAGACATCCAATTTGACATTTAATGAGCGAAAATGATTATAACTTTTATGTATAAAACATAGACAGTCTTTTTGTAGATAATCCCTTATATATTCTATTAAATTTAAAAATATCTAAAAAATTTCAAATTTTACACTTATGTCCCATGTTTTAGAGTCCGCTTCGAACATTTTAATTTCATATTTTTTTATATATCAAATTAAACTCAAATTTTGAGTGCCTATACTTCTCGCCATAACCCAAGTAAGTTTCGTTTTTTTTTTTCCTAAAAAAAAATTCCCCCTTTTTAAGTTAAAAAAAAAGATCCATGTGCCCTCCATCCCCACCCAAAAGTCGATCATACATGTGGACATTTGGAAAATGCCTCCCCAAAACAAAGTTGGCCTATAGTTTGGGGTAGGTATTTAGACGAGCTATTAATAAATGGGTAGGGTTTAGACTAGTATACCTATTAATAAATAGAGTCCTCCAAACTCCCATCTTCAAATTAGATTTTGGATCAAAAGGTTGTACTTGCCGATTAACTTCATCAACATGACCATGAATCTTAAAAAATTCAAGGAAAAGCAGTATATACGTCGAGGGACGCATTTCTACATCGTTGTCCCTCGAGGTGTAAACCATCTATCTAAAGCTAAGTGATGGTGCCTCCCAAGAAAAAAAATTTGTTAGATCAATGGCTCAAAAATTTCCTTCTAAAAATATCAATTTGAGTTTGTATTTTTATTTTTATTTTTATTATACAGTAACGATCTCCATGTTAGTGATTGTATATTCGTTAAAAGTCGGTCAAAATTTATTTTGAAAATAGATTTTTAAGAGGGCTCGCATTTCTACGTATGTATCTGGGGACTATAAAAATTATATCCAAAATAGAATTTTGAGCATTCAAAGTTGTTTAGTTGTAAGATTTTTCTCAAGAGATTGTATACAATGAGATAATTTACCTTTGGTTCAATGAAGCCATAATTACTTACAACTATCTGATGTAAAATTTGATTGCTTGGATGTATTACAAAGTTCAAGAAAATTTAAGTTGAAGTTTGAGCATGGTCAATGGAATAAATGCAGCCATCTAATTTTACATCTAATGGTAAAGATTAATTGTGACTACCTTGTACCAAAGATAAATAATAACATTGTATACTTTGCATCTTTGTAATAGTCATTTCAAAACTTGAAAGATCATCAATTCTTCACTACGTGTAACTCCAATTTCATGATTCTGAACTAGAAATAAATATTATTTTGGATGTGTTTTGGATCCTATATCCTTTAGAAAACATGGTTAATGCCATCAACCGATAAAAACAATTTATTTATTTTTAGTAAATTTTAAAAGGGATTGTCCATAAAAAGACCATTTACCCTTATCATTGGGAAAAGTTTATATAGAGCCAAGGCTCTAAACAATCAAATTAGAGCCTACCTCAAAATTTTCATTAGAAGAAGGTATTTTGATGCTGAAATATCTTCAAATTGATCATCTCGACATCAAGATGCGTGGACATGAGAAAAAATATGGATTTCAACTTTGGAAATAATGTATTTTGTAATGCATTTTTGGACTGTCAATTTTCAATATTTTCAAGTTTTCATAGATCTCTTAATCTACTGTAAATTTTATAAATAAGGATGAAAATACAATCGAAAGCTATCACAAAGATTTTCAGTATTGAAACCACATTTCTCGACACTATTTGAAGATAGGCTCTATACAAACCACACCTTTTATCTTTTGTACAAGGATGTCACAACTACCACCTAGGGTGGTCACTCTTGCTTCATAACCCAGCTCTGGCGTTCCATGACCGGGATCTCGACTGAAACTCGTTTTAAATTTTTAAAGAGCTGGTGTCTATTTATAGGATTCTCGATCCCATACACAAAGTATCTCAATCCCACTGTCGCATGGAACGCGTTCTTTAAAATTGTAAATCTCTTTCCTGAATAAATTAGATCCCCACCCCCAGAATATTAGGAGCGAGATCCCTACGTTCCTGGAACTTTATCCCTACGTTCTCGGAACTTCCTAAAATAAAATTTTTAAATAAAATTAATTTTTAAATAAAATAAATTATATTTTAAGCCAAATTTTCATACAAGTGGAGTTCTATGATGGGAATGTGGACAAATCATGGACGGAATGCGATCCTTCCTTTAATAGAGTTCGATTCTTACTAAATAGGAACGTGGTCATTCTTAGATGGCGGTGCAATCCTGTTGTCGATGGAAGCACGATCTTAATGAATATGAGAACGCAATCCTATTTGACATGGAATGTGTACCCATTAAATAAAAATTTAGATCCTGATATATTGGGAACCCGCTCCCAGTTCATACGGGATATAGTATATGGGAAAAAATAACAAAAATCCCCAATCGGAACTTGAAGATTCCAAAAAAGGGGAACATTGAAAAAAAATTAAAAGGCTGGAAAAAGGACATGAGCATGAAATATATAAAAATAACAGATGTTTTTTAATACCTTAGACCCAAAAGAGAAATTGGGCTAAATTTATCTTTTTGAGATGCACTTGCACCTCAAGGGTGACAAAAGTGGTGTTTGAGTTGGGTGGAGCACACTGTTATTTCCCACCATACTTAATGGGAGCCCTCAAGTAAAAGGCGCATTAGAATATCTTGGAAAGTAAGTTGCTCCAAAGGGGATCCCTGTTAAGAGATAGAGAGAAACAATAATTTGGAGCTCTGTGTCTCCATGTCAACTTTCGTTTTTGGAATCCCAACTAACCCAATGGAGAGAGAGAGAGAGAGAGAGAGAGAGAGAGATCTGAAATCCATTTCTATATGAAACAAACCATAAAAGTTTAATGGGGCATTAAAACAGGAAAATTGGTATGGGGCTTTTAGTTTCTCTCCACTTGATAAAAATAACAATGTAAAGAAGACCCTGCATTAACTACCCAAAGAAAAAGACCCTACACTAGTTCTACCATCCTTTTCATGTCATTGATCTATATATACATGAATTTGCAGGTGAGTTCTTACTACTACTACACCTACAGTCTCTTAACTAAGTTGGGTTTGATCCAAATATGACCATTGGAAGCATGTCTCCTACCATGGAGAAGGACTCTAGGAAGAAAAACCATAGCGTTGTGAATGAAAAGACCCCTTTACTTCCTACTAAGGCTTCCAGCAGCGATCAATCCGAGTTCGATGGAATTTGTGGAGCCTCATTTGCAGGAGCTGTGTTTAACTTGTCAACCTCAGTTGTTGGAGCTGGAATCATGTCCCTGCCAGCAACTATGAAGGTCTTGGGACTAGGACCAGGAGTTGCTATGATTCTCATGATGGCTCTCTTGACTGAGGTCTCTATTGAGATGTTGATGAGGTTTAGTCGAGCCGCAAAAGCCTTCTCTTATAGTGGGGTGATGGGAGATGCCTTTGGAAAGACAGGGAGGATGATGCTACAAATTTGCATCATCTTGAACAACTTTCAGGGGTTGATTGTGTACACGATAATCGTCGGTAAGTGTTGTCTAAGACAGGGAGACATATAGCCTGATAATTGTTCTATTTATTTTTCTTGAAGTTTGAGACATGTAGTTTGTCATCAAAAAGTTTATTTTCATAAAGGTGGCTTATTATGGCTTAGTGGGGATCTCCTTCAATTGATTATGCCCTGATTGCTGTAAGAAGTCAGAACCCTGAAGTTAAGCATGTTTGGGCAAGAGTAGCAGTAGGATGGGTGACCTCCTGAGTAATCTCATTGAAGAAAAAAAGATACAGAGAGGGACCTTGAAAGTGAGAGAATTGCTAAGGAGATTAGTTGGTTCCTATGTTACACTTGAGCCACCAAACTCATTAAGAAACCTTATTTGTTACTCTATGTGATAAACAAGATGGAAATTTTTGGTTAATGTGGAAATTTTATGTTAACAGGGGATGTTCTTTCGGGTAAAACATCAAGTGGGATTCATCACCCTGGAATTCTAGAAGGGTGGTTTGGACAACAATGGTGGACCGGACGCTCCTTTGTTATCATGGCTACGACAATCCTTGTCTTTGCTCCATTGGCATCATTCAAGCGCATAGGTAAGATTTTCTAAATCTGTGATACATATGAGTGGATGACCTTACTTATCCTTCTGATAAATATTTTGAGGCTTAGATTTGTGTTGATAATGTTTATTTAATTTTTGACTCAGGTTAGTTCGTATTTGAAACTTAGACGCTACTTTGCATGGCTTGCATTTAAGTGATGGTTAAACTATAGTTGCTAATATTAGAGGAAACAACTTTCTTAGAATGGATCAACTTCAGCCCAGTAAGGCCTTAGGATTGACTGACCAAGCTGCACTGGGATCCAAAATTGTGTTTCACCCTAGCAAGTTTGTACCCTCAAAATGGTCCAATAGGCTCATATAGGATCATAAAACAAAGGCCTGGATTAGGTTTTATGGGCCTAAATTTGCTCCATATCTCCTATTCAATTGGCGTTGGCAATTTCACTTTAGACTTGTTGGTCATGTGATCAAGACATTGGACCAGCCTAATCTGGTTCAAACCACATAAAATTGATTTGCAATTTAACTTAATTGGTTGAACCTCAGCATTTTTGCTTCTTTTATTTTTGCTCAATTTTGTAAATTTTGATCTCTTATGCTGATGCATCACTTCTTTTTCCTTTATCTTCTTTCGCTTTTGCAGATTCTTTGAGGTTCACATCGGCTATGTCGGTTGCACTAGCTGTAGTATTTGTGGTCATAACAGCGGGCATCGCCATTGTGAAATTGTTGGAAGGAAGTGTAGGGATGCCAAGGTTGCTGCCAAATGTGACGGATCATGCCTCAATTTGGAAGCTCTTCACAGTCATCCCCGTCCTTGTTACTGCCTTTAACTGTCACTTCACAGGTATGGGAATTGCAACACACACATGCGAACAGATACAGAGAGAGAGAGAGAGAGAGAGAGATGGACTTTGAATGTCATTCTTATACTCTTGACGGGTTCATGTTGCAGTTCACTCCATCGACAACGAGCTCGAGGACTCCTCAGACATGCAACCGACTGTTCGAACCTCACTCATTCTATGCTCTTCTGTCTATGTGGCCACCAGCTTCTTTGGCTTCCTTCTCTTTGGTGATAACACTTTGGATGACATCTTAGCAAATTTCGATTCAAACCTTGGAATCCCCTTTAGCTCACTCCTTAATGATACAGTGAGAGTGAGCTATGCTCTTCATCTCATGCTTGTGTTTCCTGTGGTCTTCCATGCTATGAGAATCAATGTGGATGGCCTCCTCTTTCCTTCTTCTAGGCCTTTGGACTTGGATAATAAGCGGTTTATTGGGATCTCAATTGCAATGTTAGGTGCGGCCCAATTTGCAGCAAATTTCATACCTAATATATGGATAATGTTCCAATTCATGGGGGCTACCACTGCAGTGTCTAATGGATTTATCTTCCCAGCTTCCATTGCTCTAAGGTAGGGAGATGCCTCTTAATGCTTTTAGAAAAGGGGAGTAGAGGCTAAGGTTGATTAATTAACTAAGAAATGAAGAATGAGAGAGCAAAAAGAAAGACTATTTATTCTAGGAAAAAGTTTAAATAAGGTTGCAACCTTAAAATGTAGAATTACAGATGCACCTCAAAAATCTATCAAAAAATGTTGTTTTAATGTTGAGAAACCCTCTAATTGATCATCTCGACATCGAGATGTATAAATATGAAAAAAAATATATATATTTTGAGTCCTAGAAATAGTACGTCTTGCAACACATTATCTAGACAGTCTACTTTCAAGATTTTCATATATTGATAGATCTACTTGATTTTAACATTTTTTTAGTTTAAAATTTTATAATTAGATATGAAAATAGATTTTTAGATAATCCTAAGAATTTTTTATACCAAAATTAATAAAATTTGGAGGTGCGCCTTAATGGGATTGTTTAAGGTTGCAACCTTATAGAAACCACATCTTTTATTCTATGTATCAATCATACTTCTCTCTTACTTTATTACTCTTTCTTTTTTTTTTTTTTTTTTTTTTTTTTTTTGGGGCCTGAATGCATGTAGACATCAAACCTTTATTGTGAATTTCACTTTTGATCAAACACTTAAAAGTGATTCCCCCACATTTTGCAGGGATCCACATGGCATTGCAACAAGGAAAGATCGGATCCTCGGCATCTCCATGATTGTCCTGGCCGTATTTTCAAGCATTGTGGCAATTTCTAACAATGCATATTCCGTCTTCAACAAGAGTAGCACATCCCCCAAGTCATGAGAGAGGTTGCAAATCTCATCATGCCTCCATATTAGGAGAAGGAAGATTGGGAAACCCACATTTGGTAAAAATGGGTAGTGGCACCAAATATAATGTCCCAAGTTCCCATTCCTAATCAGAAGTACATATTTAAGAAGATGAAATTTAAAACATTGATTATTAAGGTTCAAATCCAAGTCAGGATATATAAATTTAAGAAGAAATTGTTTCCAAGTTTGGGGCAAACGACATAAAGTTGGATGTGTTTTAGTGATCATCCGAATGTATTTGCAGGCATGCCTACCATTGATTACAATAATGGTGGTACTAATATTGTGTATACAAAAATAAGATGTATAATTTTCAGTTGTTTTTTATTATTGTTGTTATTGTTGTATATTTGTGTAGGGATAATATGGTCAATGCTAAATTTATATTTGTATATAAACCCTTCTAAAGTTTTATTTCTTGTTGATCGAGATTGTTTCTCTCTAGACTGTTCTTGAGCTCGTTATCTTCTCTAAATCTAATATGGTACCAGAGCCACAAAAGATCCGATCATCTCTTCTCTATTGTTGCTCACATATCGCCCTTTTCTTTTGTAAAGATTAGTAATCAGATAAATTTTATTTTCTTTGAGGACATCTTAATCACTATCCTTTGTCGAAATTTACAGCGCCAAGTTTGGCTCGTCTCCATCAAAAATTTGTCCCGCAAAGCTTTGCCTTGCAAACTTTATAAACCTTCGCTACAAAAATTACAACTCTCTGCTGCAAAATTTGTCCAGTACGCTTTGCCTTGCAAATCTCTTTAACAACTGTTGTTGTCCCGCAAAGCTTTGCCTTGCAAACTTTATAAACCTTCGCTACAAAAATTACAACTCTCTGCTGCAAAATTTGTCCAGTACGCTTTGCCTTGCAAATCTCTTTAACAACTGTTGCTTGCAAAATTTGCCTTGCAAACTCTGTTTGCAACTCTACCCAATTAATCACTTTGTGCTTGCAAGTTTTTATTTGATGTTTGCAAGCTGTTGAGCTCTTCCACAACAGTAGTCTTTCATTGAACCTAGGAATTTGCAGCAATCTTCCATCCCATTAGTACATTTTCTCTCTCTAGAAAAGTTCTCATCAACGCAGATCTCGTCAAAAAGCCAATTTTTCTTTGTAGTATCTCGAATTAATTCCATTGTTTACACCAAATAATTGCTTTTCTTTTGCCAATATTTTTAAAGAGAAACTTTCTTTCTAAAAAAAAAAAAACCCATTTTTGAAGTTTAAAAATAATACAGAGAGTGCTACTATTTCTATGCGTCTTTATGGGAAAAACCAATGGTTTAAAAAATGGATTGGTGACCTAAATCGGGTTTCCAAAAAACCGTTCCGGATTGACGAATCGACGATACGGATCGGGAATCGGGTGAATCGGTCATAATAAAGCTTAAAAAAAATCCGAAAAAATTATTAAAATTCATTATAAATATTGTTTTTTAGGAATTCAATAAGAAATGAGGGTACTCTATTAAGAATTTTCATGTTTTTGAATGAATATGCGAATATTGATATGTTCTTTCCCTGAATGAATCGTCATTCAGCATTTAATTTACATCACACAAAAGGATAAACATATAATTATCATGGAATAAGTATATCAACATACATGGACTACAATAAAGCATAAAATTAGTAACATATGATCTAAAAATAAAATGATAGACAATGTTATTGTTCTTCTTGGTCACGCTGGTGCCATTGATTGAATTCGTTTAACAATTCATTGATTCGATCTAAAAACGAATCATCGATATTAGCAGGCATCTGACTATTCTCAAATCCCTGAGTGTTAGTGTTTTGTTGTGTTCCCAATCTAAAATCCCCGAAGATTGTCCATCCTTCATACTCACCTG